ACTGAAACATAGATACATTGATACCTTAAAACATGGATACATTGATTTTTGTTTCCATATTTAGTCCTTATTTGTTCTATTTGTCAACGTAATGTTTTGGCACAAAGAGGTGCATAAAACAGACAACAGATAACGGGCATTGAGACGAACCTGTCTTGTTCAAGCAGTCTTTGCAGCAAGAAGGTGATTTTTTTAAAAAACCAAATGTACTTAAGTATATATATATATATATATATATATATATATATATATATATATATATATATATATATATATATATATATATATATATATATATATATATATATATATATATATATATATATATGAAAGCTGATAAAGAGCTATTAATTAATACTGATTATTGTGCTTTCTTCTAAATTTGTACTCATGATGGCTTTTATGAATTAAAGGGAGTCGTCAGTTTTGGTCCACGAAGAGGACGCATTGGCCTGGCCTATGTGCAACAGGACACAAGTAAGTTGGAGGATTCTTTGTGCAAACAGAAAATATATCGCTACAATTTTCATGATTAGTACCTTTTTGTTAGTGTTATGTATGTATGTATGTATGTATGTATGTATGTATGTATGTATGTATGTATGTATGTATGTATGTATGTATGTATGTATGTATGTATGTATGTATGTATGCATGCATGCATGCATGCATGCATGCATGCATGCATGCATGCATGCATGCATGCATGCATGCATGTATGTATGTATGTGTGTGTATGTGTTTGTGTGTGTATGTGTGTGTGTCAAAAGGCCCCGTTTGGCCGAGTGATCAAAGGCACTAGGCCTTACATGTCACTGACATCTTATCTCTATCAGTGTGAGTTTAAGTCTTGGTTTATCTATGTAAACAAGCTTGCTAGTTGCTTCCCGTGAGTCGGTGTTTCCTCTAGTGGATTTCCATAACATTTCTTTGTCCCCCAATATACTAACCGCATTGTATAGCTATCAAGCGCTAAAAATGGCATTAAATCCATAAAACCAAACAATCAGACAAAAACAACGTGATATAACAGTATTATTTATGAAGAACGTATTATGACTGTAAAACAGTTCAATAAATTTACCCTGATAAGACCAGCAAAACATTTTTACAACATAGTTTATAAGTAAGTATTTGTCCAGATGATCCGCGAAAACGTATGAATATGAGAGTTCAACAGAAGAAAACTATTTTTCTGTCGAGTTCATTTCACAATCAGACTACAATTAGAGAAATAAGATATGCTACCTCTCAAATGCATCCCACCTGGAAAGAATATCATTTCGTATTTTCCGGCTATATTCAGGAAGGGAATGAACTCTTGTACTGACCTCCCCTTACCACTCGCTTGGCGGTTACCCATCAAACAGTCGTCAGCGAGTTCAAACCTTTCGTTTAGTATTGTCTCTCGATATTCAAGAAAATCATCAGTATAATTAGACATCAGTTTAGATAGTCGATGGATACTCATAATAATCTCCTTGCCTATACTAAGTGCTTCATCGCGCAATGTCTACGCGAAGTGGTTGCAAGTCGTATGTGCACTCCTTTTTTTGCGCAGGAGAATAAGGAGTAAAGAGGGACGTCTGACATACATTTTCAGCATTCGCCCGAAGACGTCATCAATAGCAAGCATAATGGGGGACACTCATGATGGTCGCCATTCCACCCCATCGTTGCAAAGTTCATTTGTATAGTGCCTGCTCTGCTACTGTTACGTCTGGTCAGACTGAATTCATGGACGCCACTCGATTCGCACAGGAAACAAAGACAGACATGGCTCTATGAGGCACCCTAGAGGACAAAAGCTGTTCCAATCATAACATTGCCTTTTAAATTTTAATGTCATATGTCCAGAATTCCAGTTTCACGTGTTGTATCAAAATTGCTCTTCCTTTAAATTCAATTTCTAGGTCGTGATATTAGACTGTATCTGTTGAATTAAACAGCAGCCTAGTAGTTGAAAGTTATATTTTCTATGTAGAGGTTTTAGATTGTTTCATTTGAATTACGCGGCGTGGTTGAGAATTTCCATGCCATACGTAGAGAATTCCTAATTTACGTATTGGTCAAAGAGTTTATGTTGAAAGTTCCATTTCACATTTTGAGTATTTGGATTTTATCTCTGGGATTACACAGCATTGGTTGAATATTCGATGTCCAATGTCAAGTTTTTAGATTGTATCTTCTGAATTTCACATTGGTTGTTTAAATTTTAATGTCAAATGTCAAGAATTTAAATTTCATATGTTGAATCTTATGGATTGTGCTGAAAGGTCCATTTCGTATGTTGAGTTTTTCGATTTTATCTGTTGAATTAAACAGTGGTGGTTAGACAATTTATTGTGCTTGTCAGTATTGCTATTTTAATATTCTGAAATGATGTGTTGGTGTTAAAAGTCACATTACACAATGTCCACTTTATCAATTCAAAAAAATATCGAGTATTAAGATACACCATTCGTGTATTTAATTATGAGGCACCATTACATTTCGCGCATTTACAGTTTGAAAGTTACCATTAACAGGTTGGGAATTACGATGAATTTCTTCGATAGAGGTTGCTATCGTGAACGGACCGCGTTATTTTGAAACAAGGAGACTGCTTCTCGCTGCTGTGAAATTCAACAGATGAAATCTAAATACTCTCCATTTGAATTTGAACTTTCATCATAAACAGTTATATTCAACGTTTAAATTAGGTATTCTCGACATGTGATATTGAAATTTCAATCACCGCTGTGAAATTCAAACTACACACTGTAGAAGTAGTCGATTCTGCCAAGGGATGAACAACACTTTGAAAAAAAAATTAACAAAATGTTTAACTTTTTTATTTCAGATAATTTAATATGACAAATTTATATAAATTTTTTTAATAATAAACATCTAGTTACAGTTATGATAGTAAAATTGACTGTTGATGACGTCATCACACGTCCACTATAAAAGCCGAGACTGCAGCTGGATAAGGTAGTAACACCGACTCTGCTCCGTGATCGGGACAAGTATTAGACCCTAACGATTGTTTACTGCAGTCACAGAATCTAGTGAAATAGGCTACTTGCGCTTGATGGAGTCTTGCAGTAGACTTTGTGAACGTAATGGTGAAACTATATGTTAATTCGCCGTATAACATCCATGCAATGGTATTGCGAGAGTATGTGTTGGAACGTTACTGTATTTTGAATGGATATGTATAGCTTAATTTATAGAACCAATAAGATGATTTCGTGTTATCAGATATTTCGTCGTACTATATTGATAAAACGTCAGACTCCTGTGGTTGGAAAAGGTTTAATACCAAAGGAACTTGAATGCTTTATTTTCAAAAACCCAATTACTAGCGGAGACTTTATGTCCAGGACATTCACACCCATGAACACGAATGGCACCGCGTGCTGAACTTGAACAAGTCAACATAATCACTGACGCTGGAATCTTTCGTTGATCTTTTATTATGTCAACTCATATAGAGACTACATTCATTTACCCTTCGTAGTGTGAGCTTTGTTTTCGAGCTTAGAATTAAACTCTGCCATTTTTACAAAAACAACACAACAGCAACAACACTCCCTCATAAGAATACTCCTTGAAGGGCAAAACAATACAAGTAAACAACAGCATGAACCATTTCATTTGTATTAGCAACAATACATCTTAGGTAACGTTCTTATATTTTAAAGTGATTGATTAAGCTCACCCAATTATCTCTCCAAGCTCATTTTACAATTGCACCAGCTCATCCTACAATCACTTCAGCTCACCCTACGATTGCTTCAGCTCACCCAACGATCTCTCCAAGCTCAAACTGCAATTACGTTAGCTCACCCTACGATCTCTCCAAGCTCAAACTACAATTACGTCAGCTCACCCTACGATCTCTCCAAGCTCACCCTATGATTGCTCCAGCTCACCATACGATTGCTCCAAGTTTACCCTACGATTTCTTCAGCTCATCCTACGGTCGCTCCAAGTTCACCCTTACGATTATTCGAGCTTATCCATTTTGAACGATTTATCATGCGATAAATTAACATCGGGTTGATCGATAGCCATATTGTGATAGATAAGGATAGATACTAGGTACGAGTTCTTCCCTTTGTCTATATGATCGCTAGACAAGCAAATACGAATTTTGTCTCTGCTGAAGAGTTAGTTTCGAGAGGTAGCGGAACGTATTTTAAAATGTTGATGTGATTGGGTTAATATTCTTTGAAAACCATAATTAAATTCCTGTCAACACACACTATGATTATAAAATTGAAACTTTAATCATTATAAAACACATAAATTACAAATTACAATTTATTTTCCATTCACGGCATAATTACTATTCCCTGGACTCAAAATGGACTTTATTTTGATTTTTACGAAATAGAGAATTAGATATGTATGAAATTGTGCGTAAAATACTAGTCTTTTCGGTCTCGCATGTTTCTTTATTAAAGTTAATGATATATATTCTACTTTATATAAATCTTAAAGTATATAATATATTTAAAAAATAAATTGGATCCTTACCTATATATGATTAAAAATTGACAGATGATACACGAATAAACGTGGCAAGTTATGATCCAAACACAGACACGTTGGAATGGTTTCTATCACAGGACCAAATCTGGAAAGGTACTCTCTCTCTCTCTCTCTCTCTCTCTCTCTCTCTCTCTCTCTCTCTCTCTCTCTCTCTCTCTCTCTCTCTCTCTCTCTCTCTCTCTCACACACACACACACTCACATCGATATATATATATATACATACATACATACATACATACATACATACATACATACATACATACATACATACATACATACATACATACATACATACATACATACATACATACATACATACATACATACATACATACATACATACATACATACATGCTGATTCTACACATACCATTTTCCATTTATTCAAAAAGTTCGCAGTAGTTTATACACAGTAGATGCAACATGGTAACTTATTACCGATGTTAGGATATCTAGTTTATTTCAGTGGCCTAGTGGTTAGAGCGTCCGTCTCGGATGCGGGAGGTCGTGGGTTCGAACCTCGGCTGAGTCATACCAAAGACTTATAAAAATTGTGCTAACAGCTGCCTTGCTTGGCGCTCAGAAATACGAGGTTAGTGTTAGGACGTTGGCCTGGTGTCAGGATATTGTGACTGTGTGGGACATCATGCCACATGTCTGCGTCATGATGACCCAGTGCTAGACATCACTATAAACTGTCACACTGCATACATCGTAGCAATATGACTGAAAAATTGTTAAAGCTACGTTCAAAATCTAAATCACATCACCTCAGATGCTTTCCTTTTTATTTCTATATCGATGTACCCAACGCATTAACATGCCATGACTTTTATTTCTATATCTTTTTTCCAATATACTAACATGCCATGATTGCTATTTCTGTATCTCTCTACCGAATGCACCAACATGCCACGATTTCTTTTTATGTATCTCTCTACACAACATACTAAAATATACTGATTTCTCTATCTATATATCTCTGCCCAATGCATCAACATGCCATGATTTAATTTGAAGACTCTATGCGTACAGTTTCGAGGACCCAATAGAAAAAGCAACACAAAACCAAAAGGAAACGATTTTTAAATTCCTTACCAGCAATTACAACACCCCTCCCACTCACCCCAACGCATAAGAGTAGTGTCTTTAAAACCAATATTCACTTTGCACGGAGAACAGGTAAATAGAGATAATTACATTACATGAATCTGAGATTCTCCTAACAAAGAACGCAGAAAAATATTTTGAAAACTTGTGAAACAGTCTTGAAAAAAAGTGATGAGTCCATGCTGTCGGTTTATTATTGTAATAATTTTGGGTGATTAGGACCGTCACGAAAATATTTGATTTTATACTCCTTTTACGACTCTTTGGTCTTGAACCAATTAAAAGAAAGAAGCGAAATCAACAGTTTTATTAAAATTAGCAGATAAGATATTTCTTTAAGTTACAAAGTGAAAATTTTAAAGATGAAATTACAGTATTGTGAATTTAATCCAATAAATCCTAAATGTTTTATCGCAGTTCAAAAAGTAAGAATGCTCCATATGAATTTGAATATTCCTGGATGTGCTGAAGTACCGATAGTCTTGCATATGTTGATGAACCAATAATTTTGATGTCATAATATCATAAGCTGAAATATTTTGTAATGAATTTAAACTAATCCAAAAATAGTGTTTTAGTCCAAAAAGTCAATAAACAATTTGTAATTCCGATGAATGAATTGGGAAAATGATTCCTCACAAATTATATTTGAACACAACAGTAAATAAATAATCTTGTTTATTTCATTCTATATCCAATAATTTCACTTGACCGAAACCACAATTTAATATTTACAGTGTGAGTCGCAAGTTCATTTCCAAAACATTCTAAGTTTGAAAATAAGCTTATGCTTTGAACTCAGATCTTTACAAATATGACTAAGATCATGTAGGTCAGAACTTTACCCTGAATTTCGGACAAAGGTCAAGAACACAATACAAGTTCAATATGCATAACATTCTGCACAGTACCTTTCACCGACATGCAGGCTGTTTGCCCCATAGATTGTGATATTCCTGATAAAAATTAATTAAAAGGAAAACAAAGTCAAGCAGTCTGGGGAAAGAAAAAAATGACCGTGACCCTGTATGCTTCTTATAGTTTTTCATTTTCTTGTGCTTATGCGATTTTAATTTGTTTCAAGTCTGTCATCTGCAGCTAGTTTTTCAATAATAATTTCTGCAGTCGATTATAAATAACCATCTCATATTTGGGAGACGTATTTATGACATTTACCACAGATGGAAAGAAACCGGAAGACCAGTTTCGGTACACGGAAATCTATGTCCCATATTCCATGCTGGCATTAATCCTTATACTTGTGCTGAACACTATTGGAGTCATTACGGCTTTTGCATTCCTGGCAATCAATGTCACCTACAGGAATAATAGGTAACTATCACCACCGTGGTTCTAAAGAATATCGAATTTGTACAGTTTTAAAAGCATCGCTCTTTTGTTAATTTTGTGTCTGCTTTTTATTTGAATAACTTAGAGAGTTTGTCTGCTTGTGTTCTCGTTTTGCAGAGTAATAACTTTATTTATCTTTTTTTAATTACACTCCAATGTCAGCAGAAGACACGAATCATTATATATATATATATATATATATATATATATATATATATATATATATATATATATACAGAGAGAGAGAGAGAGAGATACACTTATTAGAAGCCAAAACATTTATCTTCTGTTCCCACTTAAACGTTGACTGATTTATGCATATAATCTTTGTATCATGTTTCTGCTAATAACCACCCACGTTTAATCAAAAGAAAGCATTTTGTCAGTGAGTGTTTTTATTTCCGTAGTAACGAATAATGCCTTTAGAAGACTTAATGCAGTAGAAAAATTTAGAACAGTTGTATTTTATCGAATGAAGTTTTATTTTATCGAATGAAGTTTTGTCCAATACAGCAGGATATATAGATTTATCATACTTAAAATAAGACATACTAGAAGATGCTATTTGTGTATAGAATTTTTGAAAACGGTCATTTCGAACACGTTATTTATAAAAAGAAAGCTACAAAGAATATTTTCTTCTTTGTTGTTCAACTGCCTCGCTTGGCGCTCAGCAAAAAGAGACTAGTGTTATGAATGGTTGGCCTGGTGTCAAGATAATGTGCCTGGGTGGGACATAATGCTACGTGTCTGCTGCATGATTCCCCAGTACTAGACATCACTATAAACTGACACACTGCAGACATCGTAGCGATACGACTGAAAAAATTGTTAAAGCTAGTTAAAAATCTAAATCACACACACACACACACACACACTTCTCTGCTAGGTACATACACGAACGATAATGACTAAGATGATTAATATCACAATGAAATAGTGCCTTGTTTGTCATAAAGGAATGTACAGAAACCATTCATTAAGTGCATCTGATCCAAGGCAATAATTTACTGTAATATAACCACACTTTTTTCTTCGTAAGAAGATTGTATCTGGCATAATGAAAGTTTTTTTTATGAAGATGAATGTTGCCTTCAGTGACCTGTTTAACAAAATTTGCGAGAAAGCAGCAATAAATTGATTTGGGTTTGTCACCAGCTTGGAAGTATGTAAGCTATCAAACATATGAAAGCTAATTAAAATGTTGGTTTTAGATGGAATAATAATCAAGCACGTATTTAATATCAAACATCCGCTTTTATTACATGTTTTTAATTTATGAAAGATCGTTTCTTTAGACTTGAATGAGTTATACATCATAATGACAATGGAAAGAGGGATGATAATGGTTACTCTATTAAGTTGTCTGGAAAAAATGTTTATTTCAAAGCAAAATGACATTTGTTCTTGCAAAGTAAAATGAGGCTAATTTTCATATTGAGTTTACAACTCGTGGTATGTGGAAGGCAGAAGAGGAAACAATTGTGCTAATTACCAAATTGTATGTTTGTCTTCAGATCATCAAATTTAATTCCTCAGTCAGGGGAAAAAGAATGAAAATAAATAAATTATGAAATATGAGAATCTAATAACCTCAATTAATAACGACATTTATTGCTTATTTATGCCCTTCCCATCAAATATATTTTTGATTCGCACCTAAACAATGTAGTTTCTTGAATTTCAAGAATTGACTATTATTTGTTCGAATGCAAGGCGTTAAATTTACGAATTATGGTTTCCTATATCGATTCTTAATTATTTCTAGTTTTTTTTTTTTGTTTTGTTTTGTGGTGAAAATATTCGATTTACCTCGGCCGTACACTTCTTCAAATGCTACAGTTACATAATAGTTCTGAATTTGTTTTGTGAAAGCTTGCAAATAAATGTTAACATGCTGCAATAGAAAGCGGTCGTATTAGAAGGAATTTCTTATGATCAAAGTCGACGACTATAATAGGATACACACAAAGTAATCGTATTTTAAAATATGTAACAAGAATCCAAACATTAGCATAGCAAAGAATGGCGTAGATTAGTAAGACGCCTATTTAGACCTCGTCTTCATACATTGAGGTGTATACATCCATACAAGCAGTGAATATTTATTTCTTTCCTTTAATTAATCACTATTTTTTTTTTTATTTTCAGAAGTATCAAGATGTCAAGTCCATCAATCAACAACGTTTTGATTGTAGGTAGCCTTATAATGTATTCTGCTGTTTACATCGTTGCCATTGACTACAGTTTATTTGGTCACCAGAAAACGAAATCAATATGCATGGTAACGTATAATATTTTTCAAGAGATAGTGCATTACTGGCACCTTAGTAAAAATGCTCATTTTAAATTTCAGACAACCAATTTTCAAAATGAAATAAAATAATTTCTTTTTAATACTGAATTCCTACTAATATAAAAAAGTAATTTTTCCAAGATTAAGGGGGAGGATGGAATTGTTCAAAGTTTTCGTGGACTTTAGTGAGACAAATGAGAGCACGCAAGTGCATAGGGAAGACATATTGATTCAGTGGTGTAATGCGCAACACCATCCCACCACTGACATATACAGGTACGTATCTTATTAGTATTGGCAAGCAGCGCAACTCGGGCAGTTTTTAGAAAATTTTACCTTTGTCCAGTTTGTTTGCTGCTATTGATTAGCTATATGAAATTTTTAACAATGGATTCAACAATGTGAGTAAATCGTGCATAATGAAAGGATAATATAATTTGCTACATATGTGACACATGATTGAACACCAATGGCTAAAATTTAGAATTATCAGATGCTTTCATTTATCGATGGGTCGGGGATATTCTTGTTCATGGTGGCTAATCTATGTTTGTCGTCCTCATCCAGACTCTATTACATGCATGTGTCTTAGATTATTTGGAACTTGTGTCAGATCCTAATACTGTTAAGGTTAAGAAATATTCAGTGTCACTTTCAGTACATAGATTCTTTTTTCACCAACTTCGTATCGAAAACCAGCAGATGGGTTGAAAAAATCAACCCCTTATTAAAAAACCCCCACTGTTTTGAGTAACATTTCGGAAGACGAGTTCAGTTT